CAGAAACTTATAAGTTTCCTCTGAAAGGGGAGTGATGTCATGAATTCTTATTATTTATTCTTACATTAATTTGCATAAGTGGTTTTACGAGGTGCGCCCTCTGTGGCAGGATGGCGGGGCTAAGATGGCGGAGTAGCTAGCGAGGACTGATGGTGAGTGATCTGTTGTACTGGTTTTGTTATAGCATTCTGTGACATATAGTAAACAATGCAAACTGATTTTAAATTGTATAACGGTCACCGGCATCAATGCAGAAAATTGGAGCAAAAAAATATTTCCTGATCGATGTGTTCCAAATAAAAAATATTTTATTCCAGTCCAGATCAGCTCAATTACTTTAGTAAAGAGTCATTGTATAATGTACAAAATGTTAATACATTTTGATGAATATTTACAGCTACGGCTTCAATACCGTAGAAGATTTTGGCCCGATCGTCAACAAAACATCACCCGTCTCCAGGGCAAGCGACTGGAAAAAGACACCGGTGTTCGGTCGAACCGGTGGAAACAAAATCGTCACTCCCAGAATAACTATGCAAAATAACGATCTAAACTCGAACCATTCGAGCCACAATATAAACATTAAAAAATGACTTTCGTTGCATTTGACAATGATAAACTTACCGAAAAGCCGTGTTTTTCTCGGTCGCTAACGCCGGTAGAACCCGCCATTTTATTTGAGTGTGTTTGCCACCTGACTCTGCCCGGTGACGTCATCATGTGCGCTATATGAGGTCTGTGATTCGTTGACTAAAATCGTCGATAGTGGGTCTCGTTGAAATCTCGTTACATAGGCATCGGGTCAGATGTATTTAGTGCGGAATTAAAAAAAATCAAAGTAAAATAATAAAATAAAAAGGCATTAATAACAAAAGTAATAAAAAAAATAAAATTAAAATAAGTTTATAGCCAAAATAATTAAAGCCCGTACACTACATCAGATTTTTAAAAGATTGGTGTAAGCACTGCTTCATTAATAATCATAATTGTCAAACATAACTCTGAAAACAAGCTCAAGTAGGTGCCAAGACAGCTTGGCGTCTGTGTTTGTCCATTACACACCCCCATAGATCAGACTTAAGCAGACATATTAGAAAAATCACACGCGAAATAAGTTCTATTTATTTCCTAAAAACACTGTATTAATGCTTTATAATTTAATTTTATTTCATTTGACATATTGTATTGAAATATACCATTAATACCATTACATCGCTTATTGACTCTCTACTTAAATTGCGAAAAAGTCCACCTTATCACAATTTCTAAAGTATGTGCCCACACCCCCCTTCCAGCGCTAGCATTCTAGATTTTGTAAAATGTAAACCAGTATGTTCACATTCGACCTTTAATATCGACGCTATGCACACATCGTAGATCATTATATCCACGAGTTACGGCAAACTTGCAGTACAAGGTCCAAGTCACAAGATTATTTCTTTGTACCAGTTGTCAATCTGAGAATATTCTAGAACTCGTTACCTAACTCCACAGTGCGTATGTGGAACGGTCTGCCTTATTGTATTAAAAACCTACAATCACACTAAACGTTTCTCTTAAAAAATTATTTGCTTAAATTTTCGTTTTACATCTGTTACTTTAAGTTGCCAATTATAAATACGATTGGCGATATTTGTTTGTCCATTAATTTTTAATGTTTGTCTTTCTTAATATTTATATTTACCAAAAATATCCATAATATCTGCGTACAATAGACTTCTTTTTATTGCTAATTTCAGTTTCTGATTAATTGTTCATACGTTTGAAATATTTATTTATTTATCCATTACTTTCAGGTATGTTTTTTCTCACAATATCAAAACTGCCATTACGTATTTTCACTGGAGCCAGGGACTTGATTAGTTCAGTTGAACTGCCTCATTGATTCCCACCATTCTTATATCAAATGTGTTCCTTCCATATTTTATCATTTGTTTCAACAATGTAAGATGGTGAAATAAATATACAAATATTTTCATTGAAAGAGGAAATCCCTTAAATCGGCCCAAAACATTGATCAACTAAAATATCAACGGACATTTGTAACTGATAAACAGGAGATAATCTTGCTCAAAGTACAGACACACACAATACCTCGTTGAGTAGCACTGGTGGAAGTGTGATTTATCTGAAATGTAGCGGGGGTGTTCAATGAAAATCCTTACGTCATATTTAGGATTTGCATAAGGTTATCGGTAACTGGTACAGTGCGTGACATGTAGGTTACATACCTGTGAACACAAATTGTATTCGTCCGCGTTTAAAAAGCACCGACCGATGTAACACCCTATTTACCAAAACGTGTATTATTTTCTATGTGTCTCAAAATAGACACTGGCCTGGTGCGTAATATTTTTCATAGCACTGTGATTGAAAAATAGGTGTCAAAAGTAACATGTCAGATGAAGTGCTCTGTTTTTTCTATGGTGTTTGAAATTGGATATGTTAAATTTCCATAGCACATAACGATTTCATATCTTTCCGCCACCTATGTTGAGATCGATAACTTTAACCACCGTTGTAGCGGGTCTATAGGACACCCGGACTTCACATTTGTTTGCTATGTCTAAAATTTCTCCATTTATTTTCATCGAATACGTGAACACCAGACATTGTAAGGTGCATAGGGCAATATTCTTGGACAATACATGTAGGTAGCGTCACTGCACTACAGATTCTGATCAGTGAACCGCGTAGTTGTTGGGCAGTACAGCTCTGCGTGAATAATTCTCGGATTGTTCGGTTGCACAAAGCTACCAATTCGATTTCTCCAGGCGTAGACGTTAACATCCTTCTCTATCGAATCAACTTGGCCACTAAATAAGCATCTATTGTAAAAATTACAATGAATTTTTTTTTCAGCGTGCGAAACACCTGGCTACGTGTCTTTTGACAAGTACCCTCAGCTTGAGTACTATTAATTAGTGATTTAGTTGACTACGACACACTAGACTCTAAAAGGTTCCAAAACAACATGGAACTATATTTATAATTCTAGTATATTGACATAAAGGTAAAAGGTAAAAGAACAATGTCGAAAATCATATACATAAGATATGAACCCTAAAACAAGTTAACATGGAGCAAAGTTAGGGGGTGGTGGTCGTCGCGCCGCGTCCTGTTTCATATGGGACGAATAGCGACGTATACAACGCATGGAAATACATTGTTTACGTGAAATTCGTTCTTTTCAGGGACTTACAGGGCGGTGGTCGTCGCGCCGCGCATGTGCAACGTTTGTATTAATAAACATTGATTTTCCCACAATTCAATGCGCTCTTCTAATGGAAATTACCAAAAACAATTCCTAATTAAAACTTGGTAATGTCTCAACAGTCAAAGTCGCCATCTTTTTTATATGAGACCCATATCTCGCACATGCGTATTGCGACGACCGCGGTACATAAAGCTAGTACTAGCACATAAGTTCTAATTTAATAACTTACAAGATATGTCTTATACCCACAATAGTGTTTCACAACCTAGCGCCATTAAGAACGATTTTTTTTCAAATCAAATGCTCCCAAGAGTTCATTTGGTTGCCTTCCTTAAATGACAGACGACAGGAAAATTTCTCTATTTTTCCACAGTTCACTGTGATGGTAATGTACATTTCAGTAGCATACTTTTGTTTTCATCCACATATATTACGCCAAAAATCCAACAAAATATGTGGTGATATTGTCATAAAAATCACTCCAGACTGACTAAATCAATTCATTCCCTCTTTAATCTTTAGAAATTTATATCCATCAGAAATAGTCTGTGCGATTATACATCTATGGTCCAAGTAGATTCATGCCATTTTTTGAGAGAGAGAAACAGAGCGTTTTTAGAAGTTATTTTCACAACTAACATTTATGTAATACGTATAACCATAGTGTAAGTATTCACACGTTTCCAATCGATCAGAAGGTGCAACATCGATTCAGTGGACGAAACCGTGGAAGCAACGAGAAAACGTTGGGGTAGTCCTTCTCCTTACCCCGTCATATGCAGTGTCCATTTCACCCCCGATTTTTTTGCCGAACAAATGTGCTCATTTTTAGCTCCGCTGTCGACTTTGTCGAGCGGAGCTTATCATATGAGTGATTGTCCGTCGTCGTCGTCCGTCGTCGTCCGTCGTCCGTGTCAATGTTTTACTTTTTCGACTTCTTCTTGAAAACTACAAGCCTGAATGCTTTGATACTTGGTGTATATGTACCTTGGGTAGACCTCTCTTAGGTTTGTTCATTTCATGTTGATATCTTCAATTCTCTAATTTTGGTGAATATTTTTGTCATTTTTGGTAAAAAGTGATATTTTCGACTTCTTGTTAAAAACCGCAAGTGCAAATGCTTTGATAATACATATATAGGTACTACATGTGGACCTCTCTCAGATTTGTTCATTTTGTAATGATATCTTTAATTCTCTAATTTTGGTGAATATTTTTGTCATTTTTGGTAAAAAGTGATATTTTCGACTTCTTGTTAAAAAACGCAAGTCC